CTCTCTCTCTCTCTCTCTCTCTCTCTCTCTCTCTCTCTCTCTCTCTCACCACATCCCCTGTGTCTATCTTCCCAAAGTCACGGTGATGAATGGGTGAGCGCTGCCATCTCCGTGCCCACCAGCGAGAGGCAGAGGCCGGCTAACGCGGCTCAGACGCTCTCGGGGATCACAGGCAGGGAGGAGAGTAATTAATCCAGTAGGATGGGAGGCAGAGTTGCAGGACGTACTGTGAGCTTCAAGACACTGCGTCTGTGTGTGTGTGTGTGTGTGTGTGTTGGAGCACATTATTGGAAGGAAAGGACAGAAACTCCAGACAGGTTTTTTTTCTACGTAGAACTGAAGGTGACGTGTTTCAGAGCACAAGGTTAGGCTAGCGTGTGTAGGTGTGTGTGTGTTTGTATCTGTGTGTGCGAGTGTGTGTGTGGGGGTAGATGAGCTCCTTAAATAAACACCACTTGGGTACAGACAGGAGCAGCCAGAGGCAACACATAGAAGACTGTCCTTGAACTCCAGGGTCAAACACACTGAAACAGCGCCCCACACACATACACACACACACACACGCAATGAATTCAGACATCAGCGAGGATGGAGGCCGAGGCTAAGTAGAGCCTTTTTAAACTGTGAGAGGAGGGGAGGGGGTGTGAGCTATTATTTCAGCTCCTTTGTTTGAGTAAATCCATTATTGGTGCCGTTACTCAGAATAATCAGTAAACTGTAATTGTCTGCGGACGGCGGGGAGGTCTCCAAATGAAATTACATTCACCTTGATAAGAGAGTCTCGCAGACAACTACGAGGCACATGAAAGATTAGTTTGGAGTCGGATGTATAAACAGGTGTGTTCTCCATCAGCGCTCCATGTTAATTGGGCCAATCCATTACCCACTTTGACATGCTTAATGTTTCGGGGGATGACCGATTAGGGCGGTGGCGAGCGCCGTACACAGGCGCCTGGCTGGTTTCCTCTGGTCCGTGACGTCTAACCAGGGGCTACAGCTCCATGCATCATTAGTCCTGGCCTAGCCAGCATACCAATCACATGTCCCTATAGCCCTAATAGGATAACCGGGGGGAAAGAGGAAATGGCTTCTATGCTGTAGAGCTGCTCCGAGTGCGGTCTCCCGGGTTTTTTTTTTTTTAATGGACGAGGCCGGAGCAATTACGGCGGGGATGAAGCCGGAGAGGAAACACGCCAAAAAACTTTCTGGGTTGAAACGAAACGCGGCTGAGAAATATTGGACTTTGCAGCAAACATGAAAAACCTGTGTGAGTGCACAGGGGGAGGGGAGGGGAGGAGGGGGGGGTCACTGACAGTGCAGGCCTTGTGGAGAGTGGAAATTGTTTCATCTGTCTGTGATACACAGCAGCCGGCAGATCGGTGCTGCAACACTTTTATTTGAGGTTGAGGAGGAATGAAATAACGAGACGGAGAGTCTGCAGCCGTGCCAGTGGCTCTGTGAGGCTGCACTTACACACAGCGGTGCTTTGAGCATGGACACCGACACGCTCGCAATGTCAGCCATCTCAGTGCGTTAGCGCGCTAACATCTGCCAATTGGCGCCAGATGCAAAGTGCAGCTGAGGCCGATGGGATGTCGTTGGTTGATGAGTGACGTTGGAATGTTGGCCTACCAATGGTGCTACACGAGTAAAAGGATCCACAAAGTCACTGCAATTCATGCAGAGGGGAACATGAGTTTGAACATCGCCACGCAGCTAGTCTCCTCTTCGTCAGCGGCGGGCTTCGTCAACGAGTCGGCTGTCCCCGAATGCAGGTAGAAGTGTAGGTTTCGAGCTGCAGCCCACATAACATGACCCATTTCCTCAGACAGGAGGAGCAATCAGCAGCACAGCCGGGGGGGGGGAACAGGGACAGGGAGCACACACGCAGTCCCAGAGGACAGACAGCTATTACAGCACAGGAAATACAATCATCTATGAACCCAGAGGCTAAATGTGAGATTCGGCAAACAGCACAGCAGAAGGAGATATGGTCCTTTTCAAGTCCAACCAGCAACCCTCACGAGCCGCTTGAAGATCGGATCAAAGATACTCGTCCACCTATCGAGAACAAGTGTTGACGCGCCAAGCTGCATTTGAACTGTGAAAAGACAGAAATGGGTCTTTTCTCCGAGGTTTTCTCAATCATGGGACTCTTTTTTTCTTTTCTCCATTGGAGATTACCAGACTTTTATGAAGCGAGCTAGTACAGCTGCTGGTTTCCAGTGCGATGACATGAGGGAGGGGAATGGAGAGACTGGATGAAAGAGGAGGAGGGGGGATGAGTGGAGATGAGAGGTCACAGCGGAGGGGAGAGCAGACTGACAGATATGGAAATGAAGTCAAGAGGAAGATAGAGATACGAACTTTTCCTTTGCTTCCTCTTTGTATTTACCCTTCAAAAATAAAAAGAGAGAGAGAGAGAGAGCGGCCTAATAAAACATTTATCATTCTAGGAAAGCTCTTTAATGTCTGACATTAAAAGGCAGAAAGGAGGGAGGGAGAGATGAGAAGAGAGGGAGACGGAGACAGAGAGAGAGAGGGGGGGGGGGGGGGGGGGGG